TTCCTTGTTGTGACACAATACCCAACAAAGGCACTTAAGAAATGAAAGTAGCTAGGTGTTGGTGGCGCACGCCTTTAGTCCCAGCACTCGGGAGGCAGAGGCAGGCAGATCTCTGTGAGTTCGAGGTCAACCTGATCTACAGAGCAAGTTCCAGGACAGCTTCCAAAGCTACACAGAGAAACCCTGTCTTGAAAAACAGAAACAACAACAACAAAAACAAAAAGAAAGTTTAGAGGCTTAGGCAGCTGCTTGCGTGGAGCCTGTAATCAGGAAGCAGATATGGATGAACGCTGATCTCAGCCTGCTCTCCTTTTTATTCAGTCCAGGATCCCACTCAATGAATAATGCCACCCCGTGCAAGGTGGGTCTTTCCACCTCAGTTAATGACGTCATGATGTCTTAACACATCTCAGTCACAAACAGCCTTCAGGTGTGCTGCAAAGATCTTTAGACCATTAAGAAAAAGAAAAGCCTGTGTGTGGGGACTCAGTATCTCATTTTGAAGTAGTAATTCCCAATGTTTTGCTTAAAAGAAAAAAGTTACTTTGTATTTTGAAGACCAAAAGCAGCTATTAGCACATTTCTGAGGTATAACGGGAGATCAAAACATTCTTGGGGAGAAGAAATACATGAGGAAAGACTAATGAATATATTCTCAGCAGTTGATTACACTGTTTTTGTGATGAAATAAATATTAAGGTTTTATTGTATGATTAAGAGGGAAATCATTAAATCTTTCGGACCTGGAACTCACTCTGTAGACCAGGCTGACTTTGAACTCACATATCTGCCTACTTCTGCCTCCCGAGTGCTGGGATTAAAGTAGAGAGCCACCACTGCCCTGCTCAGGACTTATTCTTACCTGTACATGTCTGTCTGTGTGCGTGTATGTCACCTGTGTGCAGGTGCTGGCCATACAAAGAGTGTAACTGTCTCTGGGAACTGGATGTAAACCAGCTAGTGAAGGTTCCAAGAATTGAACTTGAGTCCCCTGGACAAATAACAAGTTCTCTTAACCACTGAGTCACCCCCCCAACCTCCACTGTTAGATTTTGTTTTTACATAATGGGTAAATCAAGAAGAAAATCTTTACATAGTCTAGATTTTTTTGTTTGTTCTGGTGCTGCAGACAGGTAAATGCTTTGCATTTTTTCTATACAATTATTTTTTATTGCTCTTAAAAGGTGTTAGGGCAGTCATGGTGGCACATGACTTTAATTCCAGTACTTGGGAAGGAGAGGCAGCCAGATCTTTAATAGTTTGAGGACAGCTAGGTCTACATAGAAGAAGAGCTTGTCTCAAAAAAATTAAAAGAATAGAAATAAGAAAAGTGAAAAAGAAATACCTTTAAAATCAAAGCCTGTGACTTGAGGATGACAAGCACTTGAAGCCAGTTTCTACGTTTTGATTATTGTTTTATTTTATGTATGTGGGTGTTCTCTGCACATGCATGTCTGGGCACCACATGCCTGGTGTCTGAAGAAAAGGGGCATTGGATTTCCTGGAAGTAGAGTTACAGATGGTTGCAAGTTGACATGTGGGTGCTGGGAATTGCACCTAGGTCCCTTGGAAGCTCTTAACCAGCTCCCAACAAGTTTTCACTAAACCACCCTAGCAACTCACAAAGTCTCAGTTGCATCATTTGACATAGTAACTGTTTTGAGGATCAGACAATGTGGTGTTTCCACTTGGACATCAACTTTCCCCCAACACCAACCTTGAATTAGTCACAAGGCTCCAAATCCTAACCCTTTGACTCTTGGTAAACGCCTTGTTTCCGTTTGGCTATTTCCTGTGGAATGACAGAATTTGTAGACTGATGAAAAGTAAGTACAGAATAATACAAAGCCAACAGTTCAGTCACATGTACCCAACATGCAAATTCTGGTGATGCTGAGACTTGAGTGTCTAGACGGGTCCATTGCTCATGAGAGAACACAGAGTTCAAGTGTTGTGACTGCTGTAGGTGAGAGCAGGGGGCGGGAACACAGGGAGGATGCGGGTTCACTGGGCCCAGGGAGGTCAGGACAGCAAAGGTGGGAACATGTTGAATACGTGTACACACACACACACACACACACACACACACTAGAGAAACACCGTCTTTATCTCTCTTTGTTCTGGTTATAAGTGGGGACGCAGCTAATAAAGGCTGCTGATCACTAGTTCAATTTATAACAAAGGATGCTACCGGAATAGGAAAATTCCCATTTCTTAGAAGTCTCCCACTCCCCAAAGAAGCTATACACAGAAACAGGGGTGGAGAAACTGAAGGGGTAGCCGCAGGTCAGAATAAGTCATCCATCCTTCAAGCTGTTCCTGTCAGGTGTTTGGTCACAACCATCGTCAGCAAGCTGACTAACACAGAAGGCAACAGAGCCTGGTTGTGCTAGCGTGCACGATAAAGCTTGTTGAAGGAGATTCACAATATTACTTGCAAAATATGGACACAATTTAAATGACTGTGAACTTGGACAAAGCAAATACAGTCATTTATTATCTAGGTTACTATGTAGTCCATAAAAATAGGAGCTCTATGAACATGGAGTATTGATGTTCTCTCAGTGTCTGTCAGTCTGTCTGTCCGTCTCTGGTGTGTGTGTGTGTGTGTGTGTGTGTGTGTGTGTGTGTGTGCATGTTCTTGCTATTGCTAGGAAAATGTTATCAGGAGATGCACATCCCTGGAGCACTTCCAGGAGGCTTTATACATTTCTCCTAAGCTCAAGGCACACACACGCATGCACTCAACAAGGGCTGGGGTGTGGCTCAGTTAGTTGAGCATGTGTGAAGCCCTGGGCAAGAACAGGTTTTGTGCTACTTAATTGTTAACACTGCATGTATGACTCATTTTAAAATGTTCATTAAGAAGAAACTCTAACTGTGCCCTTACTATTAGTGGCCTTCCAGCAAGTTCTGCAATTTGAGAAATAGTGAAGCAATCACATGGATCAATAACAATCAACTCTCAAATCTTGCATGTAGCTTCCGATTTGCGTTTTCATTAATAGAAATTTTTACTACATTAGTTTCTGAGTGCAATAAAATGAACGCAAATCATCCTTTGTGAGCAAAGCCAAGAAGTGTCGATGAAACAGTGAGAAACGAGGTAATTCAAATTGCAGGTCGGGCTTAAAATTAGTCCTGAACAGCCCAGCGCAGAGCTTCCCTGGAGGGCTGTGGATGTGTTTTGCAGTGACTTTCTTGGCACCACAGAAAGCACTTGACGCCAGAAAAGCACGGATAGTTTGTCAGATTTTTATCTTTTCTAGAAAACCTGAGGTACTGTCGTACATGGAGTTTCCAAACCTATCCAAAGAAAAACTGTGACCACCGGGAGTCTGGGAGAGGCTATCCAACAGGAATCCAGGGAGCCCACAATGCGGGACTTTTAAAGGACCGTGCTTGCCTCAGTGACACCGCCAGTCATTCAGACCCCTAACGGTACGCGTTGTGTCCTCACAGCTGACCTGTTTTGTGAGTGGATGATTCTAGTCACTACACCCGGCTTCCCACGCCGGCGGGGTGGATCACAGGGTGAATCCGACCAGGTAAGGAGCCGGAATGCCTAGACCAGCATGCACCAGCCTGGGTGCTGCGGGAGGAACCCCTCTGTTGTCAGGTAGTATCTCTCTCAGTATTTATTTCTTTATTTATTTTAGAAGGGAAGCACTTGCTAGACTTTTAGTCAGCCGGGTCCAATCTGAGCTGCGGGTTACTCCCGCCTGGGGTCGGGCGTGGCCGTTGGCTGCGCTCCGGGCTCCACCTCCGTTCCCGGGCGAGCCCCATAAAAGCCGGGCGAGCAGGTTCGCTGCTCTCACCAGACGCACACTTGGGCTCAGGGCGCAATCGGAGTCCCATCGGCTCTGCCAGCATCGCGGGTACCATGGCGCAGGAGCTACAGCACCCCGAGTTCGCGAGCGCGGGCCGGCAGGCGGGGCTGCAGGTGTGGAGGATCGAGAAGCTGGAACTGGTGCCTGTGCCCCAGGGTGCCCATGGTGACTTCTACGTGGGAGACGCCTACCTGGTGCTGTACACCGCCAAGGCGAGCAGTGGCTTCTCCTACCGCCTGCACTTCTGGCTGGGTAAGCAGTGAGCTGTACAGGGTAGGGTCCTGTCACCTGGGCGGCATAGGTGACACTCAGCCAGCACCCTCTCCTAGCCGGTGGTCAGCCCCTGGCGGGCTGCGAAACGGGTGAGGTGAGTCACCAGGAGGCGTGCCCATCGGCCTTGACCAAACTGCTTCTTGGGATCCATGCTCCTTCCTCCGGGCTTTTCCACTTTAACCCAAACCCCATTCTATTCCTGGGCGGCTGCCTGAGAGAACCCGGGTGCTGGCCAAGTACCGAGCACCCTCCGGCAAGTTCGGTCCTGGTTTCCCAGCCAGGGTGGAGACGAAGTTAAACACGTTTGTGGACATCTGCTGCAGTTGGAGAGAAAAATGCCACGCCCAGCCCCACACTTTTATTTATTTTTATTTGTTGCCTCGGGGCAGCGGTTCAGATTTCTCTGCTAATTTGAGTTGCTTATGCCACTCCAAACCAAGACTCTCCCTGGCCCGTACTGCTGCTTGTGAGTTCGGGGAAACACGCAAGACACAGCCACCATCTATTTTTAAAAATTGCCCCGTGGTATATTTCTCTAGGTAGAGTGCTTCGTTTAAAATTATCCATTTAATATTCACGTTTTAACAAGGACACAGTGGACCAGAGCAGCTCCCTCAGCAGTGGTAATTATTTTGAGCTGCCTTGGTGCCAGGCTTTCAGGACACTGGGGGTGTGTTCCACTTTCTCTAGCTTCTACTTTTACCGGTAAACATCCTGAATGTTCAACCTCTCCCTGTGAGGTCTTGTGCCAGTAGGCACATACCCGCCTGACAGCGTGCGGATAATCTGAGCTTTCTTTTCAAACTAGCTTGCCTCCCGGTGCTAGTGTTTCTTTCAGTGTATTTATTCTTGAGCTGGGTGTGTGTGTGGGGGGGGGAGCCACACAAAACCACACACTTTGAAAGCCACCGTGTCACTTTAATTTCTAACGTCTGAGAGACTGAAGGAACAAGTGAAAACATTTAGGAAGCGATTTCCTAAGCATCAGCAGACAGCCAGAGCAGGCATCTGAGGCAGGAAACACGCAGGGGAACGTAATGTCTTGACAGTGCTGGGTGCTTGCTTATTATGGTGGTTGAGCTCCTGGCCCAATGCTGTTTCCTACGCCACTCCAGTCATAATACACGATACACAGTGATCTATCTACACTCTACTCATGAAACGGTGACCCCAGGGAGAACGGCCTTTCCACTCCGAACTTGGGTCAGGAGTGGACGTGTGTCTGAAGCGTCAGGGGTGAGTTCAAATGGGAGGAAGCTTGCTTTCGGTTCACAAGCAACTTGTCCACACAGCATTTGGCCTCATCTGGAGACTGCTCAAAAAAAAAAAAAAAAAAAAGACCCAGTTATTTAATTTGGTAAATTAAATTCTTACCCAAGCCAGCTCCTTAAGTATTGTGCTCATAGATTCCCTTTAGCTCTTTCTATGTGTTTGTGTGAAACAGGACCTTATGGTAGGATGGCCCAGAACTTTCTGGAACTTGAATGTAGCCCAAATCGGCCTCTAATGCTCTATCCTCCTGCTTCCTTATTCTGAGTGCCTGACTCAGTTATACTCTTAATTATCCATTTAGTGCAAAGCAATTTCACAATAATATTAAGTCAAAGTTCGGGCAGAAGCAATCCCTGATCTTAAAAATCTTCAAAAACTAAAGCTAATAGTACATTAATTACAATCTAATTCATCTGTAAACCCAGGCTGCCTAGGCTGTAAGTCACTTCACAGAGAATTTATAATCCCAAAGGTGCAGTAAGAAAAAAAAAAGATAAAACACTGGTAGAATGTGATTAGCGACATGGAAGACATTTACAGGCTGTGTGTGACAGGGACAAGTAGCCTTGACAGACATGGGGAAATGAGCAAAGTGGCGAGGTTCCTGTGCCAAGACATAACCATCAAAGCGCGGAGAGTAGTCCACGCACCTTCAGTGTTCCCCAACAGTCAGTCTTTCCTATTTCCGTTCTCCAGACAGAGGAAGCTCCACCTGGAAGAGTATTTTCTGAGATCCGAACAGGGAAGAATTCATGGATTAGTTAGAGAATGACTGAAACACGTTCAGAGGAAGGAATGCTTGACTTCCTGAAGGAAGTGAGGAAGTCAGCCCGAGGAAGCTAAATTAAAGAGAGGCTGCGTCATAGAGGCGCCCAGTGTACAAACGAAGGGACGGACCCAAGGAGGAAGCAAGCTAAGTGGGAGGGAGGCAGGACTAAGATGCGGAAAACACAGTCTTCTAGTCTGCCCACGCTGTTTCAGCAACATTAGGGCATGTTTCAGATGACCGTGGTAACACTGTAAGTCTAGACGCAGTTTAAAGTATGAAGCGATTGCCCGTGGCTCAACGTGTTTTGTATTGCTCCGTCTTAGAAAACATTTTGTATTTAGCAGTTAAGCTGCACCCAGCTTTTGCCTCTGGTCCCTTGCAGCACACAGTCTGTGGGCAGAGGTTTGTTTAAAGGTTCATTGTGCCTCTCACCTTATCACAAACACCTTCCCTCACCCTTTCTCCTTGCCAGCTGTAGACGTTACTTTCATCCGTTCTAAAGTAACGTTCTGTGATGTCATACCATGTGCGTGTGTGGCTTCACACAGGGCACTGGGACACAAAAGGACTGCATTGTAATATATAACACATCATATACAATACAAGGATCTCATAACATACAAGGGGCTAATGCAATACCAAGGAATGATTGCTGGGCCAACAGGATCAGTGCGTAAAGGAGCTTGCCACAGAGGCCGAGCCTGGCCACCCAGATCCCATCTCTGGAAGGGGAGAAGCCTCTCTCTCTCTGATCTCCACATGTGCTGTGGCATGAACATGTCTTTGCCTAAACTAAGTAAACACATGTAGAAAACAATTAAAGAATAACTTGAGGGTGTTCTTGGCAGTGGAGCTCTTTGACTACTCGAGGGTCTTGTTGGTGATGGAGCTCTTTAGAATCTGGACTCTGAAGGCAGGCTAGAGAATTAACACATGTGGTAAAACTGACTTAACACCAACACATCAGTTGGAACTAGTAACACTGTGGAAAGTATATAAATAAGGTTGACTGCGTCCCTGGGGGTATTGTGATCCCCTGTGCAAGTCTGTGCTCCCTCTACTCGAGCATATTACACAATGCCGCACCACGCTCACTTGGTAAAACTGCTATTCGCTCTCATGTGTTTCCAGTAGATGCTACCGACCATGTTGAGGGTTCTCCTTCTCTTCTAGGCCTATTGTAGCAAGCAAGATCTTTAAAATCAGGAATGAGAACTCAGTCTAGCTGTGAAGCCTCTCTTTAAGTATGTGTCTCGTTTATAAACTCTTCACATTTCCTGGTTTTAGGAGTTTCACATGGCACAGGCAAGTGCAACATACATACACATATAAAATATAAAGCAACACAGCACAGCGTGACATAGCAGGCATCCTTAGATGAGCTTAGGAAAACAATGGATGAGGTCACAAGCAGAATTCACGTGGGACATCAAACAGAGTCATAAGCAGAATTCATACACAAAGTTTTTTGAACACCTGCTAGAGTGTCATCATGATTCAACAGACTTTGACTGAGTTCTGATCGTTAAAGAGATTGATATTGGATTCATTAAGTCTTTTCAACCTTTGCAGGCAAGGGCTTTGGCTTATTTATTCTGATATTCTTTGGCCCAGCACAATACATAAATAGATGAGAGCCTGACATAATTAACTTATTTCATCTCATTCATTAACTTCATTCCTACTATACTCACCTACCTCAAAAGAGTCATGTTTCAACTCATCAGATAACAATGTTTCTGTCGACTACATCGTCCTTAATATTTTTGATAGCAACCTTGGCTTAAACATCTCTCCTAAAGTGTTTCTGTATGAAATTTACACCAAGATCTGCTATTTTGAGAGCTGGAAAAATGGGCAAAGAATGACACAAGCATCTTTTCAGATTGCAGAATTGTGTACAGATTTTTAAAGGTGTATGTTAAAATACTTTTGGCCCCAGAAAGTCTACAAAGTTGTTACCATATAAGTACTGTTCTGGTTACTGAAATTTTTTTCTGAGATCCTTACTATATAGGTCACCTGTGAACACAGAAGGGGAACTATGAAGGAACTTGAATTTCCTAGTCTAGGCAACTGATTTCCTTTCCTCAATTTTGGTGAATTTCAGTTGGTGTTATTCAGGGAAATACTGTTACTGTTTCTAAACTTATGGCTCACTAGGGAAGTTACATATTGTGATCACCAAAGAATTTACTACTAATAAGAACTGTAATAAATGAGTTCATGTGGGGCTGGAGAGATGGCTCTGTGGTTGGGAGAGCTTACTGCTCTTGCAGAGGACATGAGTTGCCAGCACCCATAGTAGGTGGCTCACACTGCCTGTAACTTCAGCTCCAGAGGGTCCAGTGCCTCCTTCTGGCCTCCTTGAGTACCTGCACTCCCATGCGCATACCACAGACAAACAAACATGCACATAATTTTAAAAAATCTTCTTCAAAACACATGTATTGTCCTTTAGAGTTCTATATACCTGTTTTGAAAATCTTTTGTAACCTCAAGAATTACTCAGCCTCTCCCATGGTCCATGACCTCCTCAGTACCATGGTATAAATCACATCTGTTTCATGGAGCTACTTAAATATCATTCACATATAAAACACTAGTGCTGTGTGGCCCATGGTAAGAATACTATCAATGTGTGGATATTTGCATTATTATTAATTATAACTCTCAGTCAGCTCAGATATAGTGAGGGTTTTCAAGGTTTAGGGTTGTGTTTTTTGTTTTTATGAACTATGAATCTTCCTCAAGCTTGCCTTGGTTCTGAACATCACATACCGTGTAGAGTTTGACTTCAGCAAAGATGCCTGGGTGGATTTTCTTTCATAATTGAAAGCTAATTGAATACTGTCTTGAATTCAGGAGACATCAGCACGTTGGTTCCTTTGCTATCTTTCCATCAGTGATTATTTCATACGCCCAAAGTAAAGAGAGAGTGAAGTAGGAATGGGACCAAAAATAGGGGCAGGCGAACTTTTAATCATTTCCCGATATTAAAGATCATGAAGTTATTTAATTGTGGCCCATAAAGTGCTTCTCACTAACATACCGGAAGTGTGATGATAAAGCAGTTCCAAGGTGCTTCCGGCAGCATCTCATTAACTATACGAAACGAGTGCTTTCCCGAGTCTTACTAGTATGCATTGACTTTCCCCCAAGCAGATCTGTGTAGTAGTGTTTCTTTTAAGCATTTTTTAAAAAAAAGAAACTGGAAAAAGCAGGAGTGTGAAAACCCTTTGGTTATGAGCCAAACAACAAATCACGTACTGCTCCTGATAGGCTCTTTCAGGCGCAGATTGCAGTCCTGAGACCTCACCCTGACGAAAGCTTCTCCATGTTAACTTGTCCGTTGATGTCGTCATTGTTCTGCTGGAGAAGGGGGCATTAGCCTCTCCTAGGGATGAGCTCCCTAATTGGTCACCCAATACAAACTGATCAACCCTGAAATCACATACACACAAACAACAAACATGGACTCAGCAGGTTATAACACACACACACACACACACACACACATTTGTATCTATATCTATCTACATCCATTTTCCAATAAAAAGAGAATCTCAATTTGAGAAGGGGAATGGGAGGGGCTTGAGGGAGGAAAGGAAAAGGGGGAAGTAGTAGGATTACATTTCAATTAAAATATGTAAGTAAGTGAGTGAGTAAGTAAGAGAGAGCTCCTAGTGTCCTCTGCATCAACTCTGCCTCCACGCTGCAACTCCGGAGTAACCAAGGGCTGTGTTGTTTCAGGAAAGGAATGTTCCCAGGATGAAAGCACAGCAGCGGCCATCTTCACAGTCCAAATGGACGACTACCTGGGTGGCAAGCCAGTGCAGAGCCGAGAACTTCAAGGCTACGAGTCTACTGACTTTGTGGGCTATTTCAAAGGCGGTCTGAAATACAAGGTGAGTGCTTCTCTCTGATGCTGTCCAATGGGACACTTTCAAAACAGCCTCTCTTCCTGATGCTTCATGTCTTCATAGATCACAACTTCCTGGAGGCCAGGGATTTATTTGGTTTTTGCTTTGGAGTGTGTGTCCTACTGGGTAAATGAAACCCAGTTTCAGAAGGTATGGTATGGTGTGAATTATTATGACCTAATTTAGTGATGTGGGCATTTTTTTTCCGACATTGCCTCTTGTAGCCTTAGGCTGGCCTCAAACTCACTACATTCAAAGATGACCATGAGCTCTTGATACTTTTGTCTCTACCTCACAAGCAGTAGGATGACAGGTGTGTTTATGCTGTATTGAGATGGAGCCCAGAGATTTCCAAATGCTGAGAAATCATTCTACCAACTGAGATACACTCTTGCCTCCTTGATAATTAAAGGAAAAAAATCGTGTCTGTATTAATAGTTAAGTAGGCCTACCTCTTAGTAAAAGGCTCGATCCCTTCTCTCTCACCCTAGCTCTCCCAGTGAGTTCTGCAGTTGGGTCATCCTTCCCTAGCCTTTCCCTCCCTGCCCATGAATTCGGTCTGCAGGTAGACACCCCAGAAGCAAGCCCTCTCTAAAGGAAGACATGGCCAGCAGGTACACTCCCACCGCCTCACTCCTGCTGAGTACCCAGACCTTAGAGCTCAACGGGATTCCTGAGTATATGTTAACTAGCCCTAAAAATGTTAGGTTTAAGTCAGACCTGGGGGTGCATACCCACATTACCATCATCAGGGAGACTAAGACAGCAGTATCATGTGTTCGAGGCCAGACTGAGCTATATAGTCACCCTCAATATCAAAGTGGAAAAAAAAAAGTCAACCAACAAACCAATTAACCAACCAAGCAAATCCACAAACAATGACCAAAAGATGTCAGGTTTGTCTGTCTTCCTCTGATTATGTCCTCGGTTGAATATTTGCTTCTTATTGAAATCATTTTTTCACACTGGGATGCAAACCACATCAAACACGAGATGCTACCTCTCGTTTTATTGAATTCCCACGAGCTCCTCCAGTTTGTGTCAAAAGCTCCCGCAGTTTCCTTCATTTCTATGAACCCAGCAGTTTGAAGGACTGAGAGCTTCCATGTGTTCCCAGCAGGTTCCATGGGGTCACCTTGTTAGAAGCCATTTCATCCAGACAACTGGTTTGCCTCAAGGGAGTGCAGAGCTTTTTAGAACCCTTGGTTTTCTAAGATGAACAATGTAACCTATACTAGTTCCCTAAACAGACACTGTGTGGTGATTCAGCATTACAGTGAACAATAAGATTCTACTAGACCACATACTCAGGATGAACTTGCCCGAAACAGGGTCTTGGAAAGCAAATTCTGGGATACATATGCAAAAGTGGACATAATAATAATAATAAAGTAACTTCATAGTTGTTTGGTAATTACCTTCTATCCACATTAAAGCTGCCACCGACCAGCACTTTTCAAAGAGGGGATCAGCGGAGTCTCTCATCAACAGCACGGTGCTGGTGCGGGGAGCTGCAGGACCCACTACGTGCTGGGAGGTGTGGCTTCGGAGATAACCAGCCACTCAGAATGGCAGAGACGACCATGTGAAGCTCTTTCACCCCATTCTTTCTTTCAAGTTTATAGATCATGCTAACCGTGACATGCAAATTATCTTATTTAGTATAAACTCCCAGGTGGTGCATTTGCCATCCATTCTATTCTGTTCAGATAGACGAAGCAAGACTCAGAGAGTTGGCAAGTTGCGATCTCTGCCAGTGACCGGTGCCTGACCCCGGCGCCTAAGATGGTAATTACTGTTCTCTGCTGCCGTTAACATAAATAAGTGAGTCATATCAGGACACAGATATAATGAAGAGTACCCGGGAAGCAGTTTAGCGTTTATTTTGCGAGGGCAAACTTGACAGAGCCTGTCATTATCAAAATCAAGCCAAGTTGCTGCCCACCATGTAAAGGCTGCCCTGGGAGCTGCCGGGATCATCTTCCAGTGCCAGGGTTTGTGCCATTTTTCTCTGGGCGTATCCAAAGCCAGCCAAGTGTTATAAAAGCCCATCACCACTGTGCACTGGCGGTGAATTTCCGACTAATGTATTCTTCTGTAGACGGCGACCGGCAGACAGCTTTACTCACAAAGCTGTGCTTTCGGCCGCACTGGTTAGAAGGCTCATCTGCTTAGCTGTGGCTCTTCTAGTGAGAGCCGAGATGGTCTGGAAGCTTCTAGCGCTAACTCGGTGTTCACGAAAGAGCTGCTTCCTTGCCTGTCGTCTTTGCTTTGCTTACTTTTGTTATTATTATTATTATCATTATATTAGTATCACTAGTATGATATTTTTGGGGCGGGCTCACATGTGCCTCTGCATGAGTGTGGAGGCCAGAAGACGACTCTCTGGAGTGAGTTCTCTCCTTCCCCCTTTATGTAGGTTCCTGGGATGGAACTCCAGCCAGCATGCTTCCCAGGCAGTGCTCTTACCCACTGAGCCACATGCCAGCCTGACCACATGCAGCCTTCTTGGGGTGGAGGAGGGGGATGGGCGGCATTTGTGAATATTAGAAGCCGTATTATTTTTAACTTTAAAAAATGTATTCATGCATTTATGAGTGTGTAGGTGTGTGTGTGTGTGTGTGTGTGTGTGTGTGTGTGTGTGTGTGTGTGTGTAGGTTAGAGGAAAACTTGCAAGGAGTCAGTTGTCTCCTTCTGCCATGTGGGTCCTGGGGATCAAACTCAAGTTGTCAGCCTTGGTGGCAAGCGTCTTTGCCTACTCAGTCATTTCAGCGGCCAGAAAAAGGATTGTGTTTTTGTAAAAGAATGTTAAATTTTCAAGGTATAAATTATGCTGATGGCTCCCTCTCTGAGATTAGTCAGAATGCTTTATATGTATGTGGGAAAGGGGCCAGGGATAACAATCTAAATCTCATTCCACATTATAACTTTCTTTTCACGTACTACTTTTAAAAACCAGATCACAATGCAATCCTTCTTATTTTTTAAAATAGAATGTTCTTGGAAAGCTGAAGCAGGTTGGTTGTAAATTTGAGGCCAGCCTGGGCAACTTAACAGCACTGTTTTTTTTTTAAATGTGTGTATGTATGTATAGATAGATATGTGTATACCTGCATATATATAAATTTATAATACAACCTCATAATTATGCACATCATCTTATTGCTGATCATAAAAGTAAATAGTTCCTCATTTTTAATTAGGAAATGAGAAAAGTGTGAAAGATGATCACAATACTACAGGAAGATATAGTGAATAACAGTTAATATTTTTTTCTTCAGAAACTCTCATTGGCTGCTTTTTGTTTTGTACTGTTTGGGGATGTAGAATCCGGATTCTTTATCTCCCTTAGCTTAAGATAAAAATGCTCAGCTCTGGGTTTTTTGTTTGTTTGTTGTTTTTGTACCCTTTGTAGGAACAGCCCACCCTTAGTCACATCTCCTATCTCCTTCTTTGCTCTGTGACAGTAGGAAAGTTGGGGACCTCTTGTCTATGGTGACAGTAACAAGGTTGGGGATGTCTTCTCTATGGTCACAGGGGGAACATTGAGGACTCTTTTCTGTGAGTGACAGTGGAGAGATTGGGGACACCTTGTCTATGGTGACAGTAGGAACATTGGGGACCTCTTGTCTATGGTGACCATGGGAAGGTTGGGGATGTCTTCTCTATGGTGACAGTGGGAGAATTGGGGACCCCTTTCTGTGAGTGACAGTGGAGAGGTTGGGGATATCTTGTCTATGGTGACAGTGGGAACATTGGGGACATCTTGTCTATGGTGACAGTAGGAACATTGGGGACATCTTGTCTATGGTGATATTGGGAACATTGAGGACATCTTGTCTATGGTGACAGTAGGAACACTGGGAACCTCTTGTCTATGGTGACAATAGGAACACTGGGAACCTCTTGTCTATGGTGACAGTAGGAACATTGGGGACATCTTGTCTATGGTGACAGTAACAAGGTTGGGGATGTCTTCTCTATGGTCACAGGGGGAACATTGAGGACTCCTTTCTGTGAGTGACAGTGGAGAGGTTGGGGACATCCTGTCTATGGTAACAGTGGGAACATTGGGGACATCTTGTCTATGGTGATAGTAGGAACATTGGGGACATCTTGTCTATGGTGATAGTAGGAACATTGGGGACATCTTGTCTATGGTGACAGTAGGAACACTGGGAACCTCTTGTCTATGGTGACAGTGGGAAGGTTGGGGATGTCTTCTCTATGGTGACAGTGGGAGCATTGTGGACTTCTTTCTGTGAGTGAGAAGGGAAGGTTGGGGACCTGTTCTACACTACTGTAGTTGATGTCCCTCACCTCCATTTCTCCAGCCTCCTATTTTTTTCCTTGCCTACAGTCTGTGTGCTAACCCATGAGTCTTCTGGAAACACCAGGACAATCATTGCTGACTTTTCCTCTTATGAAGCAGGGTATTCCTCACTGGGGACCCTCGTAAATGTTTTTAATTTTATAGTACATTTCTATGATCAGGGGAAAACAAGAGCGAAGCAACCAGCTCACCTGTTGACTTCGCCAGCTGTTCTCTTTCCTGGCCTCACTTTCCACCTGCTCTGAGGCGGTGTCTACCCTGGCCTGGTCTCTGCAGTCTTGCCGGGGCCTGCTGTGTCTGCAAGGCGGTCTCACCTCTCTCTGTTTTGTGTTGTGTTTCCCTCCCAACGGCCAGGCTGGAGGCGTGGCTTCCGGACTAAACCATGTTCTCACCAATGACCTGACAGCCCAGCGACTCCTGCACGTGAAGGGTCGGAGAGTGGTCAGGGCCACGGAAGTTCCTCTCAGCTGGAAGAGCTTCAACAAGGGCGACTGCTTCATCATTGACCTCGGCACTGTAAGTTTCGGGGGCACACAGAGACATCTGTGGGAGCTTGCTGCATCCAATGAGATGTACGCGCCTTTGAAGACCGCCACTTCTATGCACTTGGCGGTTATTTAAGTGGCACAGGGTGTAGGACTTCAAAGACTTTTTGTTCTCTGACAGGTTTAGAATGGAAGAGTGATTTACTTCTTCCTACCACAGAACAGAACTTGAACAATTTTCAGCTTATTTCCCCATGACTCTGAACAGATTTCTACTGATTATTTTCGTCTTTGATTGTGTGTGAGAAAATGTGGCTTGGGGGTCAGAGAAATGATTCTCTAAGCAACCAAAGGTTCCAGAATTTAATCTGGCCGTATGATGAGTCTAAACAGCCTGAGGAGCTAAGAAGAAAATATTTTAACATATGAACATACATAAATGTGTATGCATGTGTGCGCATGGGTGTACCTGTGTGTGTGTGTGTGAGTCACAATGCTTCATGTTTTCCCAATGATCTTAGGGTTAGCAGTGAAAAACCAGAAGTACAAATATTACATATCATCTTAACGGCGTGATCAGTGGTGTATTATATCTAACTTACTTTTTCTCCCAGGAAATAGGCCCTTCTAATTTCAGGCACATTCCTTAATCATTATCACTATGACAAAGAAAAATTGTAAGGACTCATGTTAGAACCTCATAGGTACGGCTTATGTTGTGTTTTTAGGCTTTGAAAGTCAGAGTAAAGGTCATTCCCTGCCACTGAAGAACCAGGTGCCACGGCTTGAGAAGGCAGGGAAGTTGGATCCTCCTCATGATCCTCTCTCTTCTGATGCAATCCACAGGCATGTTCTGGTAGCTACTTGTTACACCACAGCTAGCCAAACATGGAGTCCATTGCTTCAGTTAGCAGGTGTTTGAAGTGCCGAGACCCATTCAAGGTTGCATATCCTGTAAATGGTGATGCCGGAGCAGAGCGGGGCTGCAGGTTTACCTGATTCTCCTCCAGGCACGGTGCTTTACTGTATCTGTCTGGGCTGTATTTGAGACAAAGCAGCAGACAAAAGCCGAAGGTTTATTATACCTGCACACAGCGTAAGGGTTCTGATATGGAGCTGCATGGTTAGTTCTGTGTGAATAGTATCAATTTGGCAACAACAAAGGCATGAGTGTGTTAAGGTATAGTTTGGGGAGTAGCCCCGAAATGCAAGTTCCATCCATTCCTCTAAGTTAGGGTGTGTCTATAGTTTCAGTACTGTTAGCCTGTAATTGATTGTCCCAGTTCACAGCAGCTTGTGAGGGCAAAGAGATTCCAATAATACCAATGCTCAAAATTCAGTTCCCAGTCCTGCCTGGTTGTCTGCACAGGCAGATGGCTGCTCTCTTACCCCGAGTCTCAGTAAATATCACGAGAAATCCCTTCCAACTTCAAAACCCAATCCACTCCACAACCGTATTTGAGACCTGGCTTTTATACCTACTCACAAACCAGCTACTGGACCACTCCATAATTACCCTACATCAGAAGTGAAGAAATACTTATTGGAAGTAAAAGACCAGAGGCATCATCAAACCACACAGTTCTAAAAATCAGCTGCAATTGTCCCTCAAGGCCTGTGCACTATTGTTCGTCTCAGCTTTTATTTTATTATTTATTTAAATTATGGTTTCCTTTTTTTGAAACATAACAAAATAAAATAATAATAAAACAAAACAAAAACTATCACATTGACAAATTCAGGACATATATATATATAGATATAGATAGATAGAGAGAGAGAGGAGAGAGAGAGAGAGAGAGGGAGGGAGAGAGAGAGAGAGAGAGAGAGAGAGAGAGAGAGAGAGAGAGAGAGAGAGAGAGAGAGAGAGAGAGAGAGAGAGAGAGAGACGGGACCTGGTGCAGACCCGTGTAGACCTTGGGCTTTCCACTTCAGTCTCCCTGAGATCCTATGAACTTTTCTGAGTTGATTTAGAGGGTCTTGTTCTCCTGGTGTCCTCTATCCCTCTGACTTTTACATTCTTTATGACCCCTCTTCTATGGGGTTTTCTGAGATCTGAGGAGAGGGATTTGATGATTTGATGGAAACATCCCATTTAGGTCTGTCTGACTGTCTGTCTGCCTGTTCCCCGCCCTCACCTCGTGCCTGCTGTGTGTGTGTGTGTGTGTGTGTGTAATGTCTACCTGTGGGTCTCTGTATTTGTTTCCATCTGTTGGAGGAGAAATCTTCTCTGATGATGGCTGAATAAGGCGTTGATCTATGAGTACAGCAGAATGTCATTAGGAGTCATTTTATCACTACTTTTTTTCTAAGACCAGTAGTATTTGGCTTTACTCTAGGTCCCTGGTCTATTTAGTCTCTGGATACCCAAGCAGTGTCAATAATGGGTTTCATCTTGAGGGTGGGCCTTAAGTCACTTCAGATATTGGTTGGTTACTCTCACAAGCTTTGTGCTGCTATTGCCCTTGTGTATTTTGCAGGCGGGACAGCACTGTAGATCAAAGGGTTCGTAGCTGGGTTGGTGTTTGCCTTTCTTCTTTGGTAGCTTGTAGAGTACCTTCCTGTAATGAAGACCCTAGAACATAGGCGTGAAGGTTCCGTGTAGGCACCAGTTTGATGTCTCCATGTTCCGTGAGTTGTCTGGGTGCTGTCTTCAGCAACGGGGCCTTGCTGTCAGTTTGTGGAGGGAAACCTATTGTCTTGGCAACAGCCTGGGTTATTTGGGGATTTCTGTGGGACCCCTTTGGACCACAACTCAGTTGGTAGCTTTGTTTGATGACAAGTGATGGCCATCTGGGACTCTGTCTTCCTCATTATTTGGAGACTTCATTAGTATTGTCTTCATAAATTTTAGCAAGTTTCCACTGAACTAGGTTTCCATATCACCCCTCAATTCTAGGTGTCTCTCCTGTATTCCCTATGCCAACTCTACCCCTTCTCCCCCACCTGATTATTCCATCCTGCCCATAGTCCTCCCATAAAGTCTACTCTATTTCCCCCTTCTAGAGAGATACATGTGTCCCCCTAAGTCCCTCTATACTTAACCTCTCTGGGTGTATGAATTGTAGCTTGGTTATAATTTGCTTAATGGCTAATATTCACATAGAAGTGAATATATATCATATTTCTCTTTCTTAGTCTACATACCATATTTATCTTTCTATGTCTGAGTTACTTCACTCAGGATGATTTTTTTTCTGGTTCCATGAATTTGCCTGAAATTTTCATTTTTTTTAAAACAGTGGAGTAATATTCCATGTACCACACTTATTTTTATCTATTCTTCTACTGAGGTTGTTTCCAGTTTCTGGCTATTATGAATAAAGCTGTTATGAACATAATTGAGCAAGGGTTCTTGTGGTACTATGGATCTTTGTTTGGGCATATGCCCCAAGATGGTACAGCTTGGTCTTGAGGTAGACTGATTCTCATCTTTCTTAGGAACTGCCACACTGATTTCCACAATGGCTCTGTAAGTTTGCACTCCCACCAGCAATGGATGAGTGTTCCCCTTATTCCATATTCTTGCCAGCACGAGCTGCCACTTGTGTTTTTTATCTTAGCTACTCTAACAGGTATAGATGGGATCTCAAAGTCTTTTTGGCTGTTGTTTTCAAGACAGGGTTCTTTGTAGCTTTGGAACCTGTCTTGGAACTTGCTCTGTAGACCAGGTTAGCTTCAAACTCACAGAGATCCACCTGTCTCTGGCTCCCAAGTGCTGTCAAAGTCATTTTGATTGCATTTCCCTGATGGCTAAACATGTTGAACATTTCTTTAAATGTTTCTCAGCTAGTTAAGTTTCCTCTATTGAAAATTCTTTGTTTAGATCTGTACCTCATTTTTAAAATTAGTCTATTTTTATAGTTATGAGTTCTTTTTATATTTTGAATGCTAGTCCTCTATCTGATGTGGAGTTAGTAAAAATATTTTTCCATTCTGTGGGCTGCCACTTTGTCTGAATAATGGTATCCTTTGCCTTACATAAGCTTTTTTTGCTTAATGGTTCCATTTATTAATTGTTGATCTTAGTGCCTATGCTAATAGTGTTCTGTTCAGGAAGTTGTCTCCTATACAGATGCATTCATGGCTATTCCCCACTTTCTCTTCTATCAAGTTCAGTGTATCTGATTTTATGTTGAGGTCTTTGATCCACTTGGACTTGAATTTTGTGCAGGGTGACAAGTATGTATCTATTTGTATTCTTCTACATGTACACGTCTAGTTAGACTAGCACCATTCATTGAAGATGCTGTCTTTTTCCAGTATGTATTTCTGGCTACTTTATAAAAAAATTAGGTGTCTATATGTATGTGGATTTATGACAGGGTCTTTAATTCAATTCCATTAATCAATGTTTCTGATTTTGTGCCAGTACTATGCTGTTTTTATTACTGTAGCTTGTACTACAACTTTATATTGGAGAAAGTGATACCTCTAGAACTTCTTTTATTATTCAGGATTATTTTGGCTGCCCTTGTGTGTGTGTGTGTGTGTGTGTTTCCATGTGAAGCTGAAAATTGCTCTTTCAAGATCTTTGAAGAATTGTGTTTTAGTTTTGATGGGGATTTAATTGAATCTGTAGATTGCTTTGAGTAAGATGGCTACTCCTTCATTACCAACAAAAATAAAAAGTAAAAGTTCAAAGGCATCATTAAGCCATATAGTCCTTCAAATCTGTGCACTTTAAAGTCTTTGTCTAAGTTTTATTTTAATATATATTTTAAGGCACTATATAAGTGTTTTGCATATGAAACGATATCATTGTCAAAGACAAGGAAGACCTCAGTTCTGGTCCAGTTATGATGGTCTCAGGTTCTCAGCTATGAAGGTGGGTATATGGTTATAGTATTTCTGCAGACCTTAATCAAGAAGCACTTTCTAGTGATGTGATTCATCGTGTTCAAAAGT